TATTAAGTAATTATTATATAATTTTATAATATATTTCTTATTTCTTTTGTATTTAAGTTGGTTCTGATTGAAAATATTTAGATAAGAAATCTATATTAAAGTAAATTTAGTCTTTATAATATTTAATCTTGAAGTTATAATTCTTTAAAGTTAAAATTTAATATGCAAGTTTTCTAGAAATTTTTGATTTTATTAAATAAACTCTTTAAAATATTATAATTAGTTATTATAATAAAAGAAATTTTAGAATATAAGTATAATCTAAATAGTTATATTATTTAAACTACTGCTAAATATTTTAATTTAGTAGTATAATAATTTTTTTCAGTATTATTTGTTCTTTTATTAATATAGGTAATTATATATTCTATATCTTTATTATTTTTTTATGTCAAAACTACTTTTAATCTAAAACTAAAGATATCAATATATAGAATAAAAGATTTTTCAAAGTCTAAATAAATTAATATAGATATAGTGATTGATCTGTTTTTCAATTCTTTAAATACTTCTTGATATTTAATAGATTATTTAAAAATTTAATTTTTTCTCATTAATTGATTCAAAGATGCTACTATCTTTACAAAGTTTTTTATAAAATATCTATAATATGAAGCTAAATCAAGAAATTCTCTCAAGATGACTAGAAAATTATTCAATTACTAATATTTTGACTGAATCAGATTTCAAATCATCTTTATTAATAATATATTCTAGAAAGATGAGTATTATTTTATTAAATTAATATTTACTTGACTAAAGTTTTAGATTATTTTTTCTAAGCTTATCAAATACTTATTTCAGATATATAAGATACTTTTTAAAAATATCTGAGAGATATTAGTATTATTAAAATAGATAATTACAAACTTTTCAAAATAAGATTTAAATATTTTATTCATTAAGTGACTGGTATATTATTTAATTCAAAGAGTATAATATTGAATTCATATAGTAATAAAAGCTGTTTTCTTTTTATTTTCTGATTTTATTTCTACTTATTAATATTCAAAAACTAAATTAAGTATTAAGAAGTATTTTACTTTATTAAATATATTAAGTAAGTTATTAATTCTAAATAGAGAAAATTGATTTCTCTTTATAACTTTATTTAATTATTAATAATCTATACAAAATCTATATTTATTATTCTTTTTCTTAATCATAACTACAGATATAGATTATGAACTATCTGATGATAAGATAATATTTTATCAAAGTATTCTTTCAATTTCTTTCTTTATAACTTCTTTTTTAATAGATAAACATTTATAATATAATTTTAGAGTTATTAATTCTTTAGTTTTTATATTAATTTTATATTGAATAATTATAGTTTTTTCAGACTTTTCATCAAATAGATCTTGATATTCATCTAGAATTCTTTTAATTATTATCTTTATTCTGATATTAGATCTATTTTATCAGAACTTTTTTCTTTGTTATTTTAATAAAGCAGTTTTGATATTATCTTTATTTATTTATAATACTAATTATCTTTATTATACTTATAATATTTAGTTGATAAGTAATTATTAATATAAAAATATTTATCTAAATCAATAATTTTATTTTTCTTTAATTTCTTAAATATTAATAAAAGAATTTTTCTTTATTAAGTTAAATATAATATTTTTTTACTTATAAATTTAATACTATTATTTATTTATTAAGACTTTCTTAAATATTTAAAAGTGATTGATTAATATTATTATCTTCTTTATATTCATCTTTACTTTCTTTTTTTATTAAAAACTTCTTTCTTTGAATCTACTAATAAATCAAAATCTTGTTAATCTCTATCTAAATTATCAAGTTCTTTATAAGTTAATACTAATTGAATTTTTGTGATTTTTACTAGTAATAAGAATATTACTTGAGCTATTTTCTTATTAAACTATATAATATATAATTAACTAGAATTATTATAAATTAATATTTTAATATTTTTAGTATATTCAACATTTATAGTATCTGCTTTTACTTTTATTTCTTTGTGAGTTAAGAAAGATCTAGAAGTAAGTTAATAAAATATTCTTTTTGATACTTTAATTTTATATTGATATATTAATTTTTTTATATCAAAAAAATTATATTATATATATTTATAATTTAAGTTAGTAATTTTTTAAATAAAAAATTAATTTTTTTACAAGACTTCAAATAAAAAATATTAAAAAAACTTATAAAATTACTATAGTTATTTTCTTTGTCATTTATATCATCTTTTTAATTTCTTTTTCTGCTATTTTTGCTATTATTTTTGATATTACTGGCTAATTATTTTCTATAATTCATTAAATATTTAATATATAAAAATTTTTAATATAAATTTTAAGCAAATTCAAAGTATTACTTATTATATATATATATATATCTTATTATTAATTTATCTTTATATTTGATTCTTAATGAATTAAAAAAAATATTATAAATAATTAATATAAATATATAATATATTATTAGTAATACTTTTTTTATATTATTTAAATATTATATAATTAATATTTATAAGTAATTTTTTATTTTAAAAGAAATTTTAATATATATTTTAATTTTATTTACTTTTTTTCTATTCAATAAGATAAATAAAAAAGTATTATTATTAACTTTTACTAAAATTTCTCTTTATCAAATATTAATAAGATAGTATTTTAGATAGTAAAAGTATTGTTATTATATTTATTGTAATATTTTACTCTTATTTAAAATTATTAAACAAAAATAATTAATGATAAATCTATAAATTTATATAATTTGATAAAGATATTACTTTATAAATATAGATATCTATATATTATAATTTATATTATTAATATAATCTTTAGTATTTTTTACTAAATATTTTTTAATATTTGTTAATACTTAAAGATTAATTATAAAAATTAATTTCTTTACTATTTTCTTATATATTTGCTATAGAAAATAATAAAAAAAGAATTTTAATAGATTTTGCAAATTGATTTTTGATTTTGAAAGTAATTGAAGATAAGTATTTTCTAGAGTTTTCAAATAATTTATTAATAATAACTAACTTTTTAATTAATTTAATTTGTTCTTGTATTTAATCATCTAAAACTTAATAAGAATAAATATATCAAATTTTTTGTTTAAAATATTTATTATATAAATGAATTCTTTGTAAGTTAAAGATCTTTTATTATTTAATACTTGAGTAAATAGAAATTAAGTTAATAATAAAGAATATATTAAAGATCTTTTATTATTTGATACTTAAGTAAATAGAAATTAAGTTAATAATGAAGAATATATTAAAAATCTTTTATTATTTGATGCTTGAAGGAATAGAAATTAAGTTGATAATAAATGATATTTAAAATTATTAATCTTTATTTATTACTAAATGACAAATAATTAGATAAAGCAAATTGATATATAGAAGAATAAGGTAATGAAAGAGAAATTTATATTAAATTAAAATTGATAATTTATTTCTAAATTTAATAATAAAAGAATAATATATCAAATAATATTAAGATATTAAATAATGCAAAAATAATATTGAAAAAAAGAAAAATATTAAAAAGAATTAAAATAATATCAGTAAAAATAATAATACAAATAAAATAATAAAAATAAAAAATTATAAATTATATAATTTGATATAATCTTTATAAGCTTATGAGATTAATAATTCTTTATTACTTTTATAATAATATTTCTCAAGATTTAATAATAAAAATTAAAATTACAATTATTATTTAATTTACAATTATTATTTAATTTATTAAAATCTAGAAAATTGAATAATAAATTTTATATCTAATTCTTATTCTTATATAAATTTCAAGATATTAAATCTTAAAGAGATTATATATTAATCAAACTTTCATATATTATCTTTTAAAATACAATATCTTGTAATTTAATAATATAAATCAAATATAAAATTTATTATTTAATTTATTAAAATCCAATAAACTTTGAACTCCAAAAAAGCTATATACAAAATTATTTATTAAAAATAAATCAAAATTCTATCTATAATTATTTTAAACTTCAATATATCAAGATTCAATAATTTAAGATTCATTATTCAATTTATAGTAACTCATGGAAGTTTTATGAAAAAAATTTCTGGTACCTCTAATCTCAATTAAATGTACCTGGTTCATATACTTATTTAAAGCTAACAGCCAAGAGAATGACTTAAAAAAAGCCTAAAAAATATATTAATGTTGCCATTCTAAAGAAATTGAGTATTTACATGAGTAGTGAAATTATTACTCCAAATAGTTTTGTTATCAGGAATAAAATATGCTTCCTAATGAGAACCAATTTTCAAATTGTTATCAAATTCGTTTATTTACTAGGAAATAGTGAAGTAAAAAAAATTGTGAATTATTTTTACTAACATTGATCTGTACTTCGGGATCTAATAACTAAACGAATTTGATAACAATTTTGCTGAAAATTGGTTCTCACATTTTTATTAGGTCAATCCTCCCTGATGACAAAACTATTTGGAGTTATAATTCCACTATTCATGTAAATCACTCAATTTCTTTAGGATGGTATCATTAATATATTTTTTAAATGAGTATAGGAACCGGGTATATTTAATCGATGTTAGAAGCACAAGAATTTTTTTTCGTAAAACTTTTCCATGAGCCACTGTATTTTAACATAGAGAATCAAAGAGTGAACTTTACACTTGATTCTTGTTGATGTTGAATATCATATGTGAAGTTACTTTCATGTGATTGATATGATTATTAGCTTTAACGTGATTGGTCGTGTTGATTTTGAATTCAAATCAACAGAAATTAACAAGTTCGATTTCAACTCATATACAAGTGACTTTTTTTGTTTAGGGCTTTTCTATTTGATCTAATAGTTTTGACATTTCGTTCCGATTAACGACATGTTCAATACTGTTTTAAAATTTTAATTGACTTTTAGCAACTAGTGTATAAACTTATTTTTATATGTATATAGTAAAAGAGAATGCTAATCATATTCCACTTTTCCTTAATTGATCACTTCGTGTTACCATTTGTTTTCTTTACATCTTTTCCTTTTCCTATCCTATAATTCAAAACAAACTGTGTAATTCTCCTCGCAAGCCATATAGATCCAAATAGATCAACCAAAATAACCAAAATAACAACAACAAAAATATCTACATTATTTCCTTTAATCCAACCCATCCTTCGATCCGGCGTAAGCCATTCTTGGACAGTTGGTATCCTACCAGAATTTGGACCCAATTTTGCGTGATCCATTACATATTCTATCAAATCGGCAGCACGATACTTGCGATTCCCATTCATCCTCGCCAAAGTCTGCATTCTTAAAAGGTTCGATTTTATTTGGTCGTCTGTCATTAATATACGCATTTTGGAAAGCATGTCATTGACAGATAAAGAAAGTTTCGATACTGCTAATGCACATCCTTGTAGCATAAGTCTCTCGGCGTTTCCCCGTTGATCAATGTATAAAGGCAGCACGAGCATTGGAATGGCGTGGTAGAGAGATTCTTGGATACTTTGGAAGCCGCCATGTGTGAGAAATAATTTTATGTTTGTGTGATTAAGAGTTGCAAATTGTGGCACCCAATTTTGTAGAAGAATATGAGGATGTTTATTCGCGACTATCTGAGCAGTGTCGATAACTGTTCCATCGTTGAGTGTAAAGTTTCCAGGCATACCCTCCAAATATGATACAGAAGTTGACCAAATTACACCGTCAAGAAGTTTTGTGTTCATTGCTTCAAGGATAGTTTGCATAATTTTTTCATAGTTTTTTGGAGTTGTCCAGAAGCGGTCACCGAATGCAATGTACATCGTTCTCGGATGTGAGTCGAGAAATTCTTTTAATTCCTTGGTTAATGGTTCATAATATTCAGAATAAATTGGTCCAATTTCCTAGAAAATTTAATAGCATAATATTTAAAATAATTCTTTATCAGCTGTGCTTAAGATTAATATTACCTACCTGAACGAGTGGCGATAGTTTTTCCGGAACCTATTTTTTTAATATTAACGTTAAATTAAGAACCAATAATCGGATATAAAGATTTTTTTCGAATTCACCTCAAATCCAAAGAAAGTATTAGCAAGGTAAAGGGAGTCTTTAATTCGTTCCATAGGACTCCAAACCCATTCAATCCCATGTACAGAACGATGCGAATTAAAATAAAACATTGATTCATACTGAACTAACTTCAATAGCGGATGCAAAATCGCAACACATTTGAAACGATCCCAAAAAGACAAATTCTCGAGCGATACATGACATCCCGAAATATGATTTGTTGTATAGAGAGGATCTGATTTATAAGGTGCATTCACAGCTTATAAAAGAAAAAATAGATTAGCCAGATTAAACAAGTCCGATGAAGTATCTTTTCTAATTCGCTAAATACCTGCACCCAATTCATAATGCTCTAATACAATGGGTAGTCCCAAAACCCAAGCAACATCCGCACAAATTTCTGCCATCCATTCCATCTCACATATCAATAAATCTGCTTGTCTTTCGATTGTGGCATTTAGCAATATAGGAAAAGCGTACGGATAGTGATTTTCAGTCTTTCGAAAGAGTGCACGCCAATGTCGAAAATTGACATATTCGTCGAGAAACAAGTTTTGTGCGATTGTTGTGGTTTCATCCCAGATTGGATCAATTGTAATGAGCTCGATCTTTGGATGTTCACGAGCGATTATTTTATTTGCATTTGGAGAAACTAGTGTAAACTGTTTCCATAAAATCATATAAATTCAGTATCTGTAAATGCCTTGATACTAATTAAGTTTCTTGCCTTATGACCACGATCAACTAATATTTGTCCTATTTCCAATAGGGGTTTAACATGGCTTCTACCTGTTTTATGGGAATTTATTAATCATGAAAAGAATTTGAATTTAAAGAAATTATTTTTTGTTACCTCCAACTATCGAGAGAAACATAACTTGTTTTGGCGTTCTATGCTTAAACACGTTGGGACGAATATTCGCTTCATCATCATACTCCAAACGTACAAGAGGAGGCAGAGAGGAGGAAGAATGAGCTATAACAGACTCAAAAAAAATACTTAAGATATGAAAAAAAATAAATAAAGACCAGTTTAATTTTTGCATATTTTCCTTCTTTTTTCTCATCAATGAATCCGTGCACATGTACAGTATTTATATTGTCAACATTGTTATTGTTATCTATTTTGGCAAATGTCAAATGAGCTTGATCTGCAAAACTTTGAAACAAAACCTTTCACTATTTAGCGTTAGCTTGTATGGTATCAATCACAAAGTTTATCACAAAGCCTCATCAAAAAAGGAAATATCAATACAAGTTATCTAACTTATTTGAAACGTGTATTATCTATCATACAGATATAGAGAATACATGTGCTGGAAAAATACCGGTTTCTCCGGCTAAATAATTGCTGACTTGGAATTTCAAAAATACGTTATGTTGTTTATGTTTCTCTTTTTGAAAAAACGTTAATAACTGATCCAAATCCCATCTCGAAAAGCAAATAACGTAAAACAATAACGATAACTTTTGCACTATTGAATGATAATAAGTCGAGAGGGGCCGATTGTTTCACAGATCATCCTGTGTTCGGAATCAGATCGTAAATCACGTGTTTCTGGAATTTTTTTTGCCATCGCTAGTCTATCTCCGACCGCTTTCTTACGTCATATACTCTACCTTTATGATTTTTGTTTTAATTGAAATAAATTAAAGCTGGCCACAATATTCTGCTAGTCTATTAATTAGAGCATGCGTGCAATTTTATTCGATTTTCCATATTCAGTGGCTTGTTTTATTAATGGAATCATTCACTCACACTAAAATTTAATTCATAAACCAGAAACGCTTTATAATTAAATTGCAATTCGTCAAATTAATAATATTTAACGTTAAATAGAATGTAGCATTATAATGTGCCAATCGATTTTATTACATGCTACATATATTCGTATTATATTGATTTACCATATTCTTCGGGAAATAAAGCACCGCCCATGAATAATCCATTTTGCTGGCATAACAAGATTTATTTTATGAATTAAAAAATTATCCATAAATAAGCACCACCCCAATTTTGGCATCGATTAAATGGTGTTTATTCCCGGAAGAATTAGTATTTTAAAAATAGAATCTCAACTACGTAGTTAATAACGTTAACACACTCTTATCTCATTTTTGTATACACATCCTAATACTATTTTTGCATTATTTAATAGATTTCCTCATTTTAAAAAATTAACCGGGTATCGTTATTATGCATTCGGTCGATTATACCAGTTTGTCCTTCATCATCAAGACTTTGTATTATTTGTGTACGTCATTATTTTGTTGAGAAGCGAATAGAATTATTAAAATAATATCGTTAGATTAAATATTTGCGAGTTTCTGAAGAAAATGAAACAATTAAACTTGGCATTATCCTACTGTTAATGTGGGAGAGCCCGTAGATTACTTTTATAAAGTGAATCTATATTATTATGGTTCAATTTAGAAAAGTAATACTTTTCATCATATTTCCGGCTATCCGAGTTAAATGTTTACTTTCATCTGAACAGATGATTTCTTTCAAGATCGATTTTTTTCGAAGGATAAATCAAGTTCACATTATAGATTCACAGTTCTGCGGAAAGTAATGGTGGTTAGATTTACTTGAAATAAAATTATTCTACATAGTAATTTCATTTAAAATTTTATTTATAATTAAAATTTATGTTTTAGAAATATTAATATTTAATCTAGTCTATTCAGTTTTATTAATATTTAATTCAAATAATTTTATTTTTTAAAAATTAGAAAGTAAATTTTATATGTATTTTTATATCTTAAGATGTATACAATATGTTTAGATAATATTTGAAAATAACTATGCTGAACCCTTTAAATAGTGACTAAGCACAGATTTCTTAATATATTCCAATTTCAAATATTTGTAAATATTTCAAAATTACCTTGAAACATGTATTTGGGTATTAAGTAATATTGTTCAACTGATCGATTTACATTTATAATAAAGATTTCAGGGAAATAAAATGTTCTGTGATTTTTAAAATTAATTGAAAAATTATCCTGTCATTACTTTCTGCCAGAACTGTAGAAACAGTACTTTTGTTTCTGCACACTGTCTGAATTGTCCTCGATGAATTTTACTAACGTCAATGTTTCTTCTAACAATTAAATTTTTTACCGCCTTCACGACCATTGAATAACATTAATTAACAATGTAGCAAAGAATACTTATTTATTTGACTCTCAGTAAGCAAGCGCGGGCGTCCCAGTTTTGATGCGGGTAGATAAGTAGATTATATCGCATACTAATGGCAAATTTTAACCATAATTAATTGGTTACCTTCACTTTTTTTAGATACTACTCACATTGATGCCCTTCTTGAACTGACCAAAATGTTGTTGGACCGAAATGTGTTTTTTATTGAAAAGAAAAGAAACACAACAATAGTTTAAAAATTCGGTTTTCTAATAAATTTTAAACTGTAAATAATATTCAATTGATACAGGTGCTTTGATTTTAATGAACAATTTATATAATTAGAGTTCTCTGGCTTAAGAATCTACTGTAATTTGAGAGTCACTTGAATTCATAAACTTTGTTGGAAAGATTTATTGCCGGTAGGAAGTAAAAATACTATTAAACGACTTCTGTGAGTGATTAAATTTCATTAAAGGGAAAATATGATCATACGTTGATTAAATTTATGACAAAAAAAGGTACTAATCTTGGAAGATAATTATTCAAATTTTCTCTAATAATTTTTGCATAACGTAAATACGCTATATTCACTTTAGAAATATCATTTCTCTACAAATAAACAAAATTTTTGCTCTAAAATAATGACACTGTTTTGCCTTGGTTTATTTGCTGTAATCTTTATTGAAACCAATCTTTGCACATGATATTTTTCATTTTGGAATACGTATAACTTTATCAAAAGGCTTTGCAATACTAAAACTTGCTTATATCTTCTAAAACTGTTTTGTCTGTTTTTTTTTGTGTTTAAAATTTAACCTTATTGATTTTATATTTATATCGTATCATGCTATGATACAGGGTTGGCTCTTGGACAATTTCGGACAGTATTTATTGCTAATTTATTTACGTAGATATTCGGACAACATTTTTGGACTGGTCCAGGGCTAACCTTGTTAAATTGAATCGTATCAATAATTTATTGATTATATATGTGATATTAAAACAAAAACACGCATATATAGTTATTTGTATGTTTGTTCTACATATGATTTATTGCAGCTACGATTGTCCTTTACAATATTAGAATATGATTATCGGAACGGTTATAAAAAGTTTATAGAAATTTTAACGTTAATATGTTTTTGTATTAATTCACGATATGATTTCTGGTAATAAACACGCGCTAAAAATTTCTATCAATTTATTTTAAGCCAGAATTAAATCAATATTCTACGTTTCTTTAACGTACATGTACATGATACAGATACATGTAAATATAAGAATGTATTACCATTATATATCAAGTGACTAGTGAGGGGAGTTCAATGCGATGTAACTATAAAAATGATGCAAAAACTCATTGTCGTCATTAACCAACGCTAATCTCATATTTGTCTAGAAGTGTCTATTCAATGCAATATACCACACTTTCCATTTAAAGATTTCAAATTCTTCCAAATACATTTACATGTACATGTATACCGCAACGAACGCACAGATCTTTTTTACTTTGTCAGTTATTTCAAAGGTGAGGAAGCACATTCATGAGATTATTTTTAACCCTTTTTCTGCTATACAACTTTAAATAGCCCTTTTATATACGACGTACATGTACGTATACTGGAAAAGCATCGACAAATTTAAAGAAAATTAACACCACCACCACCCTCCTGATACAATATTTTTATTCCTGTTGTGCTTCATGTAGCGGTAGCGTTCAATTGATTACAGTGCATGTATATCGATATTGTTCTGACATAATTTTCTGTAACACAAACCACGAACAAACGCATGGGATATAAAGTGGGGAAAAACTTACCGCAACTTTTTTCATTCATGCTAAAAAAAACCACAGGAAAAGATGGGAAACTCAAAATCTTTATTAAACAAAGAGAAGAAGAACCTTGAATCTAAATCGAAAAAGATCTTACAAACCAAATCGTCTTCAAAACAGAATCAGATAAATTCAAGAAAGTTTCATGAAACTGATGAAGATTCCGATACCATTAGGGAAGATGAGTTTGGTGATAGGCATTTGTTCCTTCAAGATCTTTTTGAGTGTAAATTCTCTGTACCGATTGACAGTGAATTATTAAATGGGGAAGCAAAAATTTTAGATATTGGGTAGTTAAAACAAGTTTATGAGCAATTCAACGAATATATTATAGCTTAGTTTAAGGTTGACATTTGGATTAGTCCAAGCAAATTTCTCGGACTTAGTCCAAAATATTTGTTCAAATGTCCAAAGAAAATCTATCCAAGCTATAGTACTGCTAAGAGCAATTGATACTTGGATTATTAGTCAAGATTTTAGTTTTGGACATTTGGATTTGAACTTGGATCAATCTAATCCTTGGACATCTTGGATCACTTTGTCAACCTTGAAATTATCCATGATAAGACAAAAAATATTTAATATAATCTTAATAATAAATGTATAGATGTGGCTCAGGTCGATGGATTCTTGAGATGGCAAATGAATATCCATTATCTCAATTCTTCGGCATAGATATAGTAAATACTTATCCAACAGTTTGTCCAAAAAATGTTAAATTCGAAACCAGAAATATACTCGACGGATTAACATTCGCTGATAATTCTTTTGATCTGGTGCGCATTGCATTAATGATGACAAGTCTTAATGAACACGAATATTACGAGGTCATATGTGACGCATTAAGGTACCATGATTTCCTTTTGTTCCATAGAAAATATTCTTTTAAACCCATTCGCGTGATTTTTTATAGGGTTTTAAAACCGGGTAAATATATAGAAATTATAGACTTTCTATTACCGTTACAAAATCTCGGACCTAATCACAAGACGATTTATGATGCTTGTAAGTTTTTTTTTTGTTGATACTTTTTTAATATAACGATTAACGGTAACCTGAAAAATTCCATAGATGAAAGTCTATATACTGCACGCGGCATAAACATGAGGATAGCGTGGAAACTCGAAAGCATTCTCGAGACTACCAAACAAATCAAAGACATAAAGACAATGACACGTACAGCACAAATGGGTCTATCGGGAGGAAAGGTTGGACAATTACTCCATGACGTTATCAATAGTACTTTCTTTGATATGTTCAAAATAGGTGTCGCTGCCATTGTGGGCATGAGTTTTGAACAATTTGAAAATACTTGGCAAACCTCTCTACAAGAGATGGTTGAACACGAGACTTTCGGTGTTATTAAGAAAGCTTGGGGGAAGAAATGTGTGGCATGATTGATTTTATAAGTCATTTATTTCCATGTGTACGTATAACCATGATTTATTTACCTTTTTCAACTACTTTACTAAGATTTACACAGCATATTTGAATTATTCATTATTTTCTATGTTTACTAAGCTTTATGAAATTAGTTAATAAGTAAGGTAACACTATCGCTAGGAAGAAAATTGCCAACATAATACATGTACATGAAGTAGTAGTTAGGGAGCGCATGTACATGTATAATAAATAATACATGTAAATGAACGCTCGGGCACGAATAAACAGACACACGAACTCTATTTGATCATTATTTCCGTTTTTAGGTATCACCGTAAAAAAATTCTCGCATATAAACTCCCACGGAATAACATCATATTCTCTTTCTACGATATCGATATTAATTCCGCCAGAATCGTAAATGCATTGCATTTGATTACAAATCTGTTCAAATGCAAAGAAATGACCATTTATCTTCGCATTGTGAAACGAAAAATTTCAAACTGAGATTTCTCATAGTAGCGTAGATAAAAAAGAAGCAAAATATTGTTCCGTTATGATCTTTCGTTACCGTACACGTAAAACGTTTATTAACATCGTTGTATACCAAAAAAATCATATATCTGGATGAATCTCGTTTTGTAATTAAATAAATGTATGACTTGTTTTAATAATTCTACTGGATGACAAACTTTACGAACCAATCGTAATTAATCGTCATTTGCACAATCTGTAATGAATATAAAGGGGGTAAAAGAAATACAAAATAATGTAAATGACGTATCATTTTTTTTATTGAATTGTCTATTCGCATCCTTGTTGTTACCTGTAATTACTTTTGACCTGCATAAGCTATTTTTTAATTGGGAATAGTACATGTAATAAGATTCATGACTTTATTTTATCCAGTTTAGGGGATCACGAGATATTCATTTTGAATAGGAGAACCAAGACCGGAGAAATGTTCCTGTGCGCCATTTTCATCTTTATCTACATGTATTACACTAATTACAAGTTTTATATGTATAAGCTTCACTTTGGATTTTACAGTCACACCTTTCTATAAGAACGCAGTTGGGAACTAAATATGGTTCTTATAGAGCTGGATTCTTATACTGATTACCTCTATATAAGAACATATATATAAAATTTGATTACTATGTAAAATTAGATAATCAAATTTAAAAAAATTCAACTTTAGGGACATGAAATTTCAATATTCAACAGTTTAATTTGAGCAAAAATGGACTGTTGGACGTTGAGATATCGCGTCCCAGGGTTATTGAATTTTCTAAATTTGATTATCATAATGACTTTTTCGGCTTGCAGAATTTGTAGTAATTTACTGTGGTAAACTGAACTTTCTAATCCGAATAATAGCTGATTTTAAAGGAATCCATATTATATTACCAAAGTTCCGAAACACCCATCCACTAAATAGAATTTTTTATTAATAAAATGTTGAGATATCTATAAAGGAATACAACCTATGATATCAAATAATATTCTCAGATGGTGTAAATTTATAATTGAAAATGTTGGATCTCATGTCAGAAAACTGACCAAGGGACTTTTTTGACTTTATCTATCGTTGATTGGCGGTGAAAAGTGAATAATTTGCATTAAACTGCTGAATATATAGATCTTGATGCAAAATGGTGATAAAAAACAGCGTTCGATGTTAGTATATTACACGAGATCAAGCAGAGCCAAGTGATTTGCAAGAAAAAACAAAACGGTTTCAATTTCTTTTAATCATTACTTCAAACTTTATTTATTTTATTCATACAATATTTCAATAATAAACATTTTTATATGTTAACTTATAACTAAACCATAATTTATATGTTGCGGCAGTATTTGCTGCAAGATTTCCATTTATGAATTTACAGCTAGGATTGCCTTCTATAAACACATTTTTTAAGGGAATTCATTTGCGAGAGCTTAACAAATGAAAACTTATTTCAATTAAATAAATGTTAATAGCATTTGTCTAGTTTATTAGTTTATTGATATAAGGAAGAATTTATCGCTAACCTAATTGTCAAATCGTCTTTCCAACTTCTTGATAGGATTCAGAGTTTTCAAAGCATTCAAATGTAACAAACGTCAACAAGAAGTATGCTGTTAGAACAACATATAAAACGCGTTGAAAAGTGGTGCTATATACGATATCGTGCGACATGGGTATTGCTCTATTTTAGTTTGATATTTGCATTTAATGAAAGTATAAAATTCCCATAAAAATTACAAAAGCAGCCATATTGACCTATTGTCATTAATAGTCGAACAATGGTATAGTTGCTTTTCGGGTAATATAATTGAAAAATTTTTATTCAATAAGAAATATTTATCCGATAAAAAGGTATTTTCTCTTTGATACATATTAAACTCATCTACAAAATTATTGCTGTATGCGTATCCCAATGCCTCACATGGTCGTTTTCCTGTCATTCAACCAACTTATCATTTTTCGAATAAATGAATAATCTTTCATGACATTATGCTGAAACAAAACGTCCATAAAAAAGCATTGATGGAAACCCAATGAACAAAAATAATAATTCAACAAAAATTGCTAGCAAACCTTATGGGTTTGTATGCGCCTGTAAATAATTGATAAAAAGTAAAGGTGCTTTTGAAGATACGGAATAAATGCAGCACAAGCTCGCGTAGCCTTGCCAATGAAGGAAAATCCGATAGAAATTATTATGCGAGCGCGCTTGAAGTCTTACATGAATATATGATTATTTAATTACAAAACGAAATTCATCCAGTATACGGCATAAATCATCCTGGGTCTGTTACATTCTACAATGGTGTAGCTTGATTAAGACCTGGGGTGTGTTGTATTGGGAAGGGTAGTTTAATGAAGGGGTCTAGTGTACGAAGGAGGTCTACATGGAGGGTCTGGTATATGGTAGATAATTTTAATAAAAATGTAACATGCTGTAATAGGATTAACAGAGTTGAAAGATTGCTTAAAAATGATAATTTTTATAAATAATGTACATGTAATACGTGATATATAATAAATCAGATCTCCGGTATAGGGTTTACTACTTTGGGGGATGGTTTATGCCACGAATTATGGTAACTATCATTAATTTTGGTATTCATCGATGTCATTTAATGATTTCTCTTAAGTGCACGATAACTAAGATCGTAACGGAACAATATTCTTTTTTGCATATTTTTTATCTACGCAACTATACATTGCGCAAGTTGATCTTTATATAAAGTATTTAATTAACAATACTTTTGTGTCCAAATTCGGTACAATTTATAATAAGTTTGATTTGCAATAAACTCTCGCTCACATTCCTCCCATAATTCTTGATATTCTTCCTCGTTCATGCCCAAGTACTCCATTATCTCTGAGGTATTGATAGATTCGAAGTATAAAGACAGCATTTCTTTCTGTAGAAATTTTGATTTTCCGTCTGATGGATCGACCGCTATGTTTCGTATTTCATGGTGTGTGTCGGTGAGTCCGGATGCTGCGGCGAGAATTAATTCGAATTTTTGTGTAATTCTTGGATTTATGCCGCGCATTGAATAAAGAGTTAGTACTGGATATTTGTTGAATGTTAGTAATTATTTTAGGTAGTTAAATTCATTGAAAAGCAATTTCTAACAATTGAATATTCTTACATGCATTAACTAAGTCTTTTGACTTTGGTCCCATATCGTATAAATCAAAATCTGGTTCTAACAACTATAACGATCATAAAAAGTTAATTTCTAGCCAAAAAAAATAACTTAAAAAGCATAGATGTAATTTATGAAGATTGCATGCCTCTAACCAGCCACCAGGACGTAAAATTCTTGTTAACTCTTCGATAACTTTTAACCATTCTATTTCGGTTAAAGTGGTGAAAAATAGGCTCATTCTTACAAACTCAAATGAATTATCCTCGAACGGTAGACCATCGAGAATATTGGCTTGTACGAACATTGCATTCCGTGATCTTATTTCATGAACTGCCGGATAAATGGTCGAAACATCACATCCGATGAATTCTGACCTTGGGTATTGACTCGCCATGTCAAGTACCCATTCGCCTATTGAACACCTATATGTAAATTCGTTCTTTTAATTAGTACTGAGAACAAATAAGACGCGAAAATTAAGGAACGACTGAATATGATTATTACCCAGCGTCAAGACATCTTGCACCTGCCACCAAATTTTCATAAACAGGAGAAGAAAAATTACTTTGCCATATAAACTGATTCAAATAATGTGGCACATGCATTTGCTTGATTTGTTCTAATGATTGTGATAAATAGTGTTGAGCTTCAGTTGAAGTGTGTGATTTGTGTTCTTTTTGAATTGGACGTTGTGGATGTTCATTATGAACAAAAGATCGAACAAGTAGTGAACGAGAAAGATGTTGTCGCGTGTTTGATAAAGAAAAATTATTGTTGTTATCTTGAGAAGTATTTAGTAGATTAGCGTTAGTTGACGTTAACGCTTGAACGTATTTTTTCTTGTTGCGACGAATTCCAGTGTGCGATGAGGATATATTTCCCATATTTTAATTTAGAAAAATTTTGTGCTATACACTATACTATATTTGGATTAGTTTAAAAATAAAATACAACAAATATTTAATTTCGTAACAATAAAAAAATAAATAAATGTTTCTTTTCAACCTTTATATCGTTTAAATTTACAAGAACGATGCGAGGTCTGTGCTCTCTCGTATCGAGATTTGCTATTACACAATCTTTTATTTAAGCAACGCAAATTAATACCTTAAAATTGACATTCACACTCATGCGACACAAGTTAATTCTTTAAGATTGCGTTCACACGATCCAGAAGAGCCTTTAAGAGATCCAGAATGGCCTCGACCATTTTATTATTAATGCGTTTATTAGCGTTAACCAGTAACCAGGTTAATGAATTAGAGTTTCATTCTTGTGTTAACCCTTTTTTGTTTGTATTATACCGATACGAATATTTAATTCACGTTGTTTTATGCTTGCTTTGCATATGTATGTGTGCACAGTGAAAATACATGTATATGCAAAAACGAGTGGAATTCAAGTTTAATGCCGATAAAAGAATTCGATATGCACTCTGTCTGATAAGAATTTTTAGTTGGTTGTTTAAAAATTGTTAAAAAAGTTTAAAAAGCTATCCTTACCGTTACCTTCTTATATATTTATATAACATTTTTAATTTCGCATTTTGTGAGTGAATCGATGTATGAAAAATCAATTTAAGTGACGCACAAATTATAACGATAAATAACGATAATAATAATGCCAATTTGTGTCGTGTGAGTAAAACCAAACTTTGTGTTGTTGTGTGCTAACCATTTTCCGTTCAATGACATATCGTCTCATCTTGCTCAACACGATTTATTTGTGTAACTTGCACAGCAGGGACGTGTAATTTATGGTTTGGCGTTCTGCTTTATCGTTATGCGTGAAACTAGATTAGATTCGCTGTCGTAAATTTCATTTTTTTTCGCTTTTGGATGTAAGAATAACTGTAAATAAGAAATTGTTCTGAATTAAAAAGTTTTTCTGTTCATGTAATATTATACGCGTGGCGAAATAGTCATTAAAAACCTGTCTATATTAATTATCGGGGATCATGCTGAAAGTCACGGGATTTTAGGAGAAAACAATTATATTTAAATGTTATACCCCAAAATCCCAAATAAAAATTGGAATATAACCCAAATTAGAAAGTTCAATCAAATATAAACAATCTTTTAACATAAATCTATACTCTTGCTCTAATTCTGATCATGTCTTTATTTTAATTTGAACTAATTATTATTTAAAACATTTACATGTATAATTTGAAGCACAATATAACGAGATAAATATTAGGGCGAATTTACTATGTGCTCCCAACCGACCGATGATCCGACATCCCGTCTAATCGATCGACGCTTAGATATTACATGTGCACATAAATATCCCCATATCGATATACTGTACATGTATATATACAGTACATGTACATATATATAATACATACCGATATAGTAGTTTAACGTATGATATATTTTTGTTATCGTTATATTTTAAGTGATATCGATCGGTGGATATATTCGTTGTACTGTGATTGATTAGTTGATGATCATCGAAAAATTCACTCTCTTACTATTAAATTTTCTCCAAAAAAATTATTTATCTTAAAATAACTCTTATTTTTATTAATATCCTTGACTTTCGCCCTATATCAAAAAAACTTTTTACAGATTTTAACTATTATTTTAAGAAAAAAAATCGGTTAATATTCCAAAATCCTTTGAAGTATCTTGTTTTAAAATTGATCAATTAACAATAGCGATCGGTGGATAAGATGTCGGAACCATGAATAGATTCCGATAACGTCATATGATAATCGTATAATGTAACGGTAGTGTGAAACGGGAAGAAGATTAGAAATAATATAACGGTAACGGTAAGCGAAAAATTGATAGAAAATTAATCTTACATTAAGAATTCTTTAAATAATCAATACTATCGCTATGTTTTTATTAAATTATCTTTATCGTTATCATTATCGTTATTATATATTATCAATATTGATTAATAATAAAGATATCGAGATAATAAACTATCATTATTAAGACACGTAATTACAAAAGAACATTCCTATGTCATTAATATCATTATCGTTACAGATTATGTTAAGAAAATTGCTATTATATTTTCTTTCAGTGAGAACTAACGATGATTATAATTAAAGATTGACGATTATAGTTAAAATTAAAGAAATCCGTATAGAAGCTATATGAACGTTTACGCGGTAGATAATTAACGAATGATTTATTGGAGGTAATTATTATCGTTATTATTTATTTCTGGTTGTTTTATAGAAGAAGAAAAGGTGAGATCTGATTGTTATTTACTGAAGAATTATAAAGTTCGAAGTGAACAAAGTGAACA